GTCAAAGGTCGTCAGGTAGAAATCTCGAAGCTCACGCCAGTCGCCAGACAGTGCGGCGCGCTCCGCCTCCTCGCTGACGACGACACATGCATGCAGACATACAACCATACACAAAAGACACACACACACACACACACACACACACACACACAATTGTGCAAGCTTGGATGTGAGCGCATACACGTCATAGCGCGTATGTGTGTGTGTGTGTGTGTGTGTGTGTGTGTGTGTGTGTGTGTGTGTGTGTCGGTCTCACAGGAAGTCTTTGGTGGTCTTGGTGCGCAGCGGGATGACAGGGTCACACGGGAACGGCGCTTTGACCTCCGGCGGCAGAGTATCGATGGACGTTCGCTGCTTCAGACGGGCCAGGCTGCCGATCGGAGGAAGCTCGCACACTGAAGCATGCCAGGCACGCACGTACACACGCCAAGACAGCACAGGAAGTTGAAACCCATCCCGCTTCTTGATTCTCAGTCAAACATCTTTGGCAGATGAAATTCTGAAGTTCAACCTGATCAATATCAATTTACTTCATTGCTTCAACAGTGCACGCGCGCGCACACACACACAGATACACACATGCACTGTCCGCTTTATAATTAGGCCCTTTGTTTGTGTTGCTATGGTAACGCTGCAGGTGCATCCTGGGCGCTGGAGAGCAAAAGACAAACGGCAAACATCCTCAAGCCCGACTTGAGGACAAGCACGGCCATCTCCTGTTTGGTGCATCAAAAACACTTCCGGGGAGCAGGACAGTGGAGATTTTAACAAATAAGGTGACTTCTGGTATGGGGCTTCATTTATGATTTTTTTAAAATAATAATAACGAAACCACTTCCTGTGAGGCGGTGAAAGGATTTTGGATTTTGTTTTTTATTTGAATCCCGCGCTTGGCCCTTGTGTGGCTTTCATCGTTGTCGCCCATGATGCGGTCGAGCAGGTGCTGAAGTCACCTGACAGTGACAACAGCTGTCGCCATGACAACCCTTCAGCAAATAGTCACCTTCACACAGCCCAGCATCTCTCCCCACGCTGTCGTCTCCTTCATTTAGTTTCACTCCTTTTGTACTTTCAACCGTGCTTTCTTCGTTATTAATTTGTTTGTTGTTGTCTGGATTATTTTTGCTCCATGTACAACACTCGGTATACGGCGGTGGTTGTTTTGAAGTGCTTTAGAAATACAATTGAGTTGAGCTCATTGTTATTCCTTCGCCGGCCGATGCACTTGAGACCTCATCTCCTCGTCCTCCTCATTCTTCTTCTGTTTCTTCTTTCGTCAAGGACTTGGTGCTCACTTCAGGATCCATCTTTGATCTTTTCGCTTTTACCATCTTGTGCTTTGATGCCTCGCTCAGTTGTTGCTGCATCTGTCGCCCAGCCGACTGTCGTCACGGCGACAGATGATGACAATGCTAACTTTAAAGCTTGAGCAGCAGACAAAACGCAACGGAGGACGGCGGGCTCACTGGGCAGCGTCCGCGCACGCATGAAGCACCAACACACACTTTTGCGATTTGCCACCTTGGCGAGATTTGCATGAAACAGCCACTGACCGTGCTTGAAGCCTAGCGGGGCGGTGGCCATCTCGCTGTCCCTGACCCGAGCCCTTCTGTGGTTGAGCGTGTTGATGAGGCTCCCCAGAGACGGCAGCGGAGGCTTGGACTTGCGTGCCGGGGCCTGCCGCAACATGACATCATCAGCGTCTGTGCCACCGTCATCAACATCAACACACATCCTGTCACCAGCACATCACATCTTCCTCTTTTTTTTTTTTTTGGTCAAAAGGGAGAGAGGATTTGAGATAGGGGGGGCTTTGGACTTATGCGTGTGGCCAATTCAACGTGTAAGTCAAGGCACGGCTGCGTACAAGTTTTGGATGAAGAAGAGGCGAGCCAAGAGGAGCTGCCGCCGACAGCGCACGCGCTACGCTCGCTGCAAAACATCTGGAACCTTCTTCAGGGTTCTGTCATCTCCTACGAGAGGCACGCACGTGTCCGTATGACATTTCCAGACGGAGAAAATGCACACGTGGGTTTGCGCGCATGTCACGCGCACATTCCCGAGCGCTGACACAAGTGCCATGACATCATCGCACATGCCCGCCACGCCAGCTGGTGACATCATCACACTGCCCAAGTTATGCAAGTTGTGTCTCTTATATAAGCGTCTTTTGGCCTTTCCTAAACGCACCATCGGCCGCGTGGCTCGCAACAACAACAACCGACGAAAGCGGCAGCTGTCAATCGCATTTCAAAACAAGCAGGCCTGCTTGCTTCATCAATTGCGTCAGGGACTCCAAAAGGCCCGAGAATTGGCACGGACACACTTCAAGTTGGATTTCCACAGAAAAGCAAAACGAGACCCAGCAAAAAGGCACACAAACAACACCAATAGAAAGACGCAAACACAAAACACACACAGGATGCGCAAAGAGACACAAAAACACACAAAAAGTCAAGACACAAAAACACAGCCAAAGACACGGAGAGTGACACAAACACACACTGAGAAAGAAACACCAGAACACATCAAAAGCAGACATAAAAAGACACTGAAAAAGCACACAACACTTTTTTGGGTCAACATTCAAATCAATGTTTTCATTTTCCTAATGGACATAACATTTGTGATGAACACGTACACGCCTACTCCGTCGCTGTCAATTCCTGTTGGTCCTGAAGGAGCCACTTGGAGGCTTTTGTTTTTGTCTCTTTTGAGCTGTGAAATGACAGAAGCCCCCGATTCGACCAAGCAAACGGACCTGATGGCTCAGCACCAGCAGGCGTTTCAAAGTTGAACTCCAATCCAAGATGGCTTCCACAAACAGCACGGACCAGTCGACTTAACGAGTCCTCCGACTCGTGAGTTAGGAGCCCTTCCACGCTCGTTCTTGCTCAAATGTTAGGAGAACCCTGTATTTTACACTTGATAAAATGGGAGGAATGAGATCATGAAATCACATCTGAACTGCATCAACTGAACGGCCATTGTGCTGCTGCTGTTTATGGCCACAAGGGGGCAGTAGAAGACCGACAGACTATGATTGAGATGTCTCAACTCCTCTCAGCTCATCAGTACAGCATTCATATTTAGTTCTTCTTCACAGATGATAAAGAACAGATGACATGCACATGTCAAAATTTTCACTCACAAGTCAAAGTAAAAAATAAAAAAAAGCCCATCAATTGATTCTGAGTGTCTTCCAAAGTAAAAGCAGTTTTTTTGCCAGTGTGTTATTTTAGGGGGGGGGGGGACAAAAATAATCGAGCTGCTTTCACGGAGGCCGACTCAAATCTCAGATGTTTTCTGCTGAGAGGCTAAAATCTGTACAAATTTATGATAAACAAGGTCTCTAAATGATTAATCGACTGCCAAAGTACGCAATGACAAACAAGAAGTTGCCCCCCTGTGGGTACCAGTTGTTGAGTGTTCTCGTTTGGCAGCAACAGAAATCAAGAAAATCCCCCAAGGGGTTTGAAAACGATTGCAGAACTACGTGGTCACAATTTGCGTTTCGATTTGGCGTCGTCTTATGCTTTGGTTTGCTTGCTTGCTCGCTTTAAGACGTGAAGTGTATAAAAGCAGCAGCTTCGCTGGCTGGTTGCTTTTAGTGGTGAGCGTGTGGGTGCGTTTTCTTACGCTGGAAATGGGCGGCAGCTTGTCGCGCTCCCTGCTGTTCAGCCCATCCATCCTTTGTCAATTGTCGCGCCGCTGCCGCTGGCGGCCAAAAGTCTCCCAAAGTGTTCCCAAAGTGGCCCAAGTGCTCATTGTTGTCTTCTCGCTGCCGTCGCTGCCGCCGACACCGCCGCGTCGCAGCCGTCGCGCGCGCGTCGACGCGTGCGCGCGCACAGCCAATTCGGGAGCTTCTTCATCTCAAGCCAGAAACAAAAAAGAAAGGAAATCAAAGAGAAAAAAACAGCGACAACAAGACACACACAACGAGTCTTCGTTGGTCACACGCCATCAGCACGCAGAGTAGCCAGAAGACGCCCGTGGCGGGTTGGCGCCATGTTGGGGGAGGGGGAGGAGTTTAAAGTTGGATTTGGGGAGGACTCCAGTTGCGGTGGTGGGGGATTTTTCGCGGGCCACACAACCCTCCACCTGAGCAACCAAACTCCTGAACGCCTTCAAAATTCTTCTCATATTAAAATCATAATTGTCCAAAAAAGAAAAAATAATTATAATAAAATTATAACATGCACATTCAACATGCTTTTTTTAATTATTTAAAAAATTGTTGAAGATATTCATTGCAAATAATGCAGGAAGGATATTCTGGGGAAAACCCTTGTACTTGTACATGTAATTTATCACGGATTATATCATTTGTCAATATTTTATTAATGTATTTTTGGAGAACAATCAGATTTTATATATATAAAACTCAAATCAACAATTTTCCATCAATGTATATCTTCTAGTTATTGCAGTAAACAATTTCTGAATACATTTATTGGAATTATACAAATAAAAATCTTTCTACAATTAACGATTTTATTCTCCCCATAAAAAAGTGAGTGTACATGACACTCCAATGTATAAAAAAGTGCATACAAGAGTAAATAATAATCCAAATAATATCATCACTTATATATCAACAAACCAATGATTTTATTCAAACATGAACTGGCAGAATGACTTTATTAAGGGAAAATAATATTGAAGATTATTTACAGCCGCTTTTCTCGTCATTCTGGAGCCCTATTCATTTGAAAGCCCTGATGGGAAGTGACGTCATGTTAGTTGCCTCACTGATTTATCATACTTCATGACGTCATCGGCATCAAGTCCTTGGAGATAGACACACACACACATATACACACACATAAAAAAGTTAAAACAATACACAAGTTGATATCACATTTTAAAAATGCGCGTCTTGAGAAGGTTTTCATGTTTGGGAGACGAAATATTGTTTCCAAATAACGTCATTCTTATGCAACGCTGATGACGTGTTAATTTGAAGCGAACGTGATACCTTGTAGCGACACAAGAGGGCGCCATGTCGCCATTTTAACTCCCACCTACGCATGTGTGTGCGCCACCTCTCCTTGACTAATGAATACCTTACCATACATACAAGAAAGTAAACATATAAAGGACTGTACCACAAATTGTTACTGTTTACATTTACTTGTTACATTTACTCTTTAGAGTTACTTGTTACAGCTTCTATTACTTGTTCTGGTTTCACCCTGCCTCTCATCTGACATCAGATGGAATATAGGCTCCTGCGCATGGAGAGATTACTTGTTAAAATGATCTTTTACTTGTTACAATTAGTCATTACCGCTTACATTACTTGTAAAGTTAGGTTTTATATTTGCTTGTTCTTTAGTTGCTTTTAGAGTTGTTACATTACTTGTTATACTTTCTCATTTCTCATAATGGTTACGTGTTAGCTTTGCCAGTTGCAGGACACATGACTTCTTCAATGCAATTTACTTGCATTTGTTGAAGTCACTGATGAAAGGTTGCCTTGCGTATTGAAATTACTCGAAAGAGGTCCTTCGTCCAGTTCCAGGCTCCGTGACTTGTTTGGATTGGCGTGGGGTAGTCCAAGATGTGTCCAGTGGTGATCAAATGAGGAAAACCTCAAAAGTCAGTCACCTGGTTGCTTCGCATAAACTACACGTGCGCAACCGGTGACTTTCCCGCCACCTTGTGGACATAGGTGGCATTCAGGCGTTAGCTGCTATGGACACGTGTGGCACGTGACCTGCATCAGAACCTGCCAGCTTTCACAATGTCAGCATATATAGAGACAAAGGGACAGGATGCCAGTCACTGACACTGTCACTCCCATTGACCCCAATGCACAAATTGTTGGTCTTGAAGCTAACATGCTAAGATGTTTGGAGGAAGGCGGGAATACGCCAACTCCACACAGTAAGGCCAGAGCCAGAGTGGAGCGCAGAAACTCAGAACACCGAGGCAGACACGCAAACCGCGAGGCCGCCTCACACAAGCGCAAAGAGACAAACAAAATGTCCTCAAATGGACTTAGCCCCGTTAGCATGTCATCGCTAAATGAGCTGTCGCGCAGACTGCCGGTGATTGATGAGCAGCCGCTAGGAAAGAGAGCCGCTCAGTTCACGTTACCCCGGCGGGTGTCAGCGCCGTGCAGTCAATATGGCCAGACCGCATTTATCTTGGGAAGTGACAAGTCGCCTGAGGGTGACGATTGCGGCTTTTATTTGGACGCATTTTTATTGACTACAGATCACATGGCCTGTTATGATTATTTTTGACTTTTATATTTGTGACAATGACCACTAAAGACCTTATTATAGCTAGTGCTTACATATCACAGTAATTATTTGTTTCAAGTATTTAGTGCTCAGGTACTAGCCACACTTCACATTTTTTTTTTTTTTTTTACTTTTACGTACAGTCAATTGCTACATTTATGATTTGGAGTTCATAAGTTACTTTGTAACATTGATGTTTTCATACTTTCACTTACACTCACTTGTTGCAGTTATAATTTTAATAATAATTTTACACTACTTCACTTTTTAAAAGACGACTTATTGCATTTACTGTACTCACGACAGATTGTTTTGTTGCTCAATGCCCCCAATGGGGCAAATGAAATATGAAGAATACATGACTTGATTCTTCTGACTTTTGACAGGTGGCCTGCATGCAGGCTGCATGATTTGGCTGCATGCCAGCCACCTGCCACCATGATGTCACCAAGCTCAGCTCACCAACCTGAAGTTCACGTCTCCAGTGACTGGCGTCACCTCCCGGAATGTAAAGCACATCACACACACAGCCTCGGGAATGACCTTTTGACCTGCAGAAAGTCATATGTCGTGTTCACATGTCAGCGACGCCGAGCTCCCGGTTTACAGCTTGACATTCTCGTCAACAGTGACATTGTCGGGACAGCTTCCTCGAATGCGCCCTATGGAATTCTTTCACACGCACGGTGTGACGCTTGAAAGGTCCAGTCAAGGTCACAAGACCACAAGAACTCACAGATGAAGAGATGATCAATAGGGCCCTCGCGGCAGAAGCCAGAGGGCAGCCATCTTGTGTTGCCACTGTTACTACTTGGATCGCTCTAAGTCATGATAAAAACATAATCAAGAACAAACTTCACTTTTTGAATCGACCATTTTGAGAGTCTTATCTCAATATCGAGAATTGTGACCGACAGAGGTTAGGTTTACATTTTGCGGCAAATTCTGTCCCACTGAGCTTTGCTTTCATTTCGTTGCTGATGGTGCAGCTGAATCGTGAGTGGTACTCACGGATATCCCTGAACAGAGAACATTTGAAACGATATTCTTTCTCATGAAATGTTCATGTAGTGCTTCTCCCAGACTTACTGATACATACACGGGGGCATTATCACCGCAGACACCGAAAAGAACGTGAAAACACGGTGGAGAAATCAAAGTACTATATTCAAGTTCAGCTCAGCAAGTGGTAATGTAAGATGGCTGCTGGTGGCTTGACTTTTCCCAATGGCGAGAAAACAGCGTTGTT